TCCTGTGAGAGGCTTGATGTTGCTCATTTTGACCATGCCTTTGGCAAAGTCTTCGAAGAATGCAGCAGTATTGACAGCGTATTTTTTAACCAGATTGTCAGTAGAACTGCCATTGAACAGCTCCTGATCGGAATGAAGAAGGGCTTTTTTACTGATCAAATTCTGGAAGTATAGATTGTCGAAACGGATTGGAGTTTGGTGGTCAAGGGGTTCCAGTGTATTGTCCCTTCCACTTCTTGGGCATTTGCTCTGCAGGAACTTCCGGTAGGAGGGATCAACGTTGGAGTCATTGTAGATGTGTGCTCGGAAATTTTTGCACTGAGCCAGGCCAATGGTATGTGCCCCTGTTATTGAAAGCTTCTGTTATTTAGTCGTAACACTTGGTGAACATGGCAAGATAAAAACTTCATCCAGGATCCTCACATTCTCCTAGCACGACAGTGTTCTGGCAGAGAACACAATTCAGAGCAGGAAATAGAGAGTATTTCACAGGAGATTTTATTTTTTTCAAAATAAAAAGTATACTATATTGAGAAAAAAAACCAAATTAACCAAAATCGTTTTCAAGCATAATTTAGGAACATCAGAGTAGTCATTTTGGTAATAAATCGGGGGACCAAAAGTCAAACTGACTAATGATAATTTAAGGTATTAAATAGGCAGGGCCACACTCTAAATCAACACTGGAAATTGCATTCCAATTCTGGCAATAACCAGGAAAGGTTTCAGTGTGACTCATTCAACGTTAAGAGTACAAAAATTCGTTTTGACTTGTAGTGACAAATTAAGGATGGAGCATTTAATAATGAATGATGAATGGAATCATAATAAATGAGATGAGTTCGACTAGAATGAGATGAAATAAAAAATTTCATGTTGAAGTAGAAGAATTTTTTTTATTACATTATCTAAGAAGTTAACTGAATACTAAAAATAGTATGAAATAATAATTTGGTTCCAACCATACCTCGATGGAAATCAGACGAGTAAACAATGAGTTTGTACAAGATTGCATGAACACAATAAACTTTTAATGATTTTGTTTAATTTCATCAGGAAAAAGTGATCTTTTAGTTATGGACATGTTAAAGAATATTATAATGGTATTGTAAGCTTTTTGAAAAATGAAAATATGATAAATATTGCAGTATTTCTCTTTAAAGTTAAATGTATCTGGTTCTGAAAAAAATCTGAAAAGACAGAATCACAACATTACTTTCTTTAAGCTCAAAGAAATTGGCTACTTATCAAATTTTTTGTTAAATCTCAACCACTTTACTTTTATTAATTCAATCATTGAAAACATGATCATTCAACTTTTCATCACTGATTGAAGACATCTGATAAATTATTACATCACCTGAAAGAGCAACCAAGTCTGTAACAGAGAGGCCTTGATTAGCAAAATTGTTTGTGAGATTAGCTAGATTGAGGAAAGGCCCAGGAAGGTTATTATTAGCATCCTTTCTGCTTGCTGTTGTAGAATCTCTTCTCCCCAACCCCACTTCCCAAGAAGGTCCTCCTAACTGCAAAACTTTTATATGTTTATGGATAACTCTTACTCCAATAAAAATAGAATCTTAGAAATACAAATAAATCTATTACAAAGACAACAGAATCTCGAGCTGCAAGAGCAAGAATATCCGCACAGGACACCACTTTGGGACACTCTTTCTCCACACTGCACTTAATATCATTTATCACAATGAACCCTCTGGCTGATTGGTTGTTAGCTGCTGCGGTTTTCTCTCCTTCCAAGTTGCTACTATCATCCAACAGTATTGATGCATCACAACCCTGAACAACATCACAATGTAAACCCCATTTGAAAAAAATTATCAGATATAGTTCTAGATCATGAAACATTTATAGTCTAGTCAATTTTTACAACACACAGTTCATTCAAAGATTGTTAATACCTCCTAGCAGAAAAAAATACCAACATTGTATACTTACGTTTACAAAGCAGTCATGGAAATGCAATCGGAGTAAGGAAGCCCCCATGCGTGGTTCTTTTTTAATGGCTTGAGCCACTCCTTTCTTGACTAAGGTTAACAAGTTTGGGCAAGTGCAGGAGTAAAAGTCTGTACATAGGTCTGTACCAGAAGCTGTAATAGTTGTTGCACCGACAAGAAGAAGCAAGAGGAAGTAGAAAGAGGCCATTGGAGCTTTCATACAGGAGATACACCAAATCATTGGTGCTTTCTCTTATACAGGGTTGGACCAAATTATCTTGTTCAATCAATGAATTCAAGTGAAAAGCTCTATCTCTCTTGTCAGATAGTGGAGGAGTTCAAATGAAGGGCATGTTATACAAAATAGTCCCATTTAATTCAAAAGCAAACAATACATTAAAACACCGTTATTCAATCACAAATTTGATATATAAAATAAGAATATTGACTTTTGTAGTAATTCTTTTAGATAGTAAATATAAAAATTAAAAATAAATTAAACATAAATTCACTTTAAGCA